GAGGCCTTCTGTTCTCGGTTGCCTGTTTGTTAAATTCTTAATTTCCTTTATCTGTACTTTTTAAAAAAAAATGTGTACAGATAACATTAACATGCAGCATCATCTTTTCAGTGACTTCTAATATAAATCACTAATAGAGTTTTGGGGAGAGAATGTTTATCTCATCTCAGCATGATTTTCTAGCCATTGGTTAGCTTATCTACAGTCTCTTACTGACCTCTTGTTCCTCTGAGAACTGCACTTGAAGCAGGTCTGATTATTTGTCTTAATGTTATTTGTAATCCTGTTATCATTTCTTCCTTTCAGCTCCTTTTCTTGCCTTGATAATGTACGTTCAGACCTTTCCCTGAAATGACGAATTTTCTTTTTATTCCTCTTTCTCTGTTTGTAGCCTTCAGTCTTTAGATTATTATTAATGTACTTATTTGTACTGCATCTACTACCATCATGCCACAAGGACATCTGTAGCTGAATAGATGTTAATGCACGGGCCAGAGACAAAGCCAGTGAGCTATTTAAGTTGTGTTGAAGTGGTACACAGCTTTGAGGAGGATGCAAGGATTGTGGTTGAATGCCCCGGTTCTTCTGTATTTCTGTGTCAGCCTTGTGCAGAGTGTAAACAGGAACTTCGAGATGCTCCTCTGTTGAGTTGCTCAACTGCACGCTCAGCTGCAGGCATTGTGTGTGGACTTCTCCCTGCCAGACTCCCGAAACATGCTGCCTGTAGGGCTCTTTTGTATGTTCATTTGTCTATGCTGCACATTGGATTTTGTCTTCTGCTAGTTCATGTGAGGGAGAAGTCTGATTTGTTCCTGATTGTGATAAGTGGATAAATTTTAGGGTTTTTCCTCTTGGAGAAATTAAGCTTAAATTCAGTTGCATGACTAAAACCCATCTTTCTCAGAAGACTTAATGCTCATTTAATTTGACAGGATTTTGCACTAATTTTTAAAAGCGAAAGGTGAGAATACTTGCAGAGAGTTATTCGTGTTACAGAAGAATAAAAGTTCTTTTCTGCTTCGTGTACTTTCCTCCCTGGATTATCAAATTTCCATCAGATTTAAAGGTCGGTCTAAAATATTGCTTATAATCAATAAAGGACTGAACAGCCTTGGTTCCTTGATATAGAAAATTACTTGGTCTTGTGTCATTAGCATTCAGCTTCAAAGTACTTTGTTCTGTTGCCAAACTTGGCTGCGTTGAAGCTGCCGCAAAATTTATCTCTGACAGGTATGATAGCTATTACAAGTACTACATTGTACTAGAGAGGTTCATGCATTAAAATGAACAAGCTAAAAAAACAAATAGAAACTGCTTCTATTTTTGTACAAATGTTTGATCAGTCTTTACAGATTTTTTGCCATCAATTGCCTTAGGATAAGTAATGTGAAGCAGTGCTTATGAAAGGTCTCGTATACGCTCATGTAGCCTGTAGAAGCTAGTCTGTGGTGGACTATGTCTTAGGAACTGAATTTATGGGAGAATCCAGCTTGTGATTTTGGTTCCTGAGCGGACACTGCTGGACAGACACTGCTGGATGGACGCTGCTTAATACTGTTTTAATTTGCCTACCATGTGAGGAGGTAAAGTTCTGTAAGACACCTTTCCCTCTGCCCCATAACAAACAGGGTGTCACGTAATATGTCTTTTGAGTGTTTTATGTACATGCCTAATATGTAAGATCAAAACCCACTGCAGCACAATTCGGGGACTACATACATCATGTATGTTTGAAAAAAATGTACAAATATAAAAGTGAAACGTAACTTATTCTGGTGATCTGTGGCTCTGTGCCTTACAGTGCTGGGAAACAATTTTCAGCTTTCACATGACAAATGGTTCTGCTGCACTGATTTGTCCACATTTGTAGCGTACTTTGAAGACAGTCCAAAATAGCTTGCAGTTGATGACCTCTTGGGCACGTTAAAAGAGATATTTTGCTTGACAGGCTCAGAGATATGTTTCAGGGAGAGCGTGTAAACACTGGTAGGGTTTCTGTGTTGGTATCATTTGCAGGAGGTGTTGAATCTGTTACCAGCTTACAGTGTTTAACACCGGTAGGTTGTAATTTGATAAGTTTGATTGATAAGTCTCTTAGAAGTTTTTTTGTAGTAATGGTTAAGAAACTGAAATGAAATACATTTAAGACTTGAAAGAGGGGTTGAATAGCATGATTAGCAATTCTTGTGATTTTTGTTGCCCCTATTATAATGTTTAACTGTTTCTTTTAAAGGCTTATGTTCTGAAATCATCTGAATAAAGCAATAAAAGAAAGGGGTTTTTGTAAACACTGTATTTACACCCCTTGAAGTTAGAAAAGCAAATCTTGAAAATGTGATTCCCTAAGGCTGAAAATTATGGAAATATAATAAAAGTAGTTGTATTTCAGAAGTTGTATATAACATTATTCGCACTTCTTCTGAGTTTAAAGACACAGACCTGACTGGTAATATTTCCGTTATTTGTGTTTGAAGGTCAGTTGAGGTGTACAAGCTCATTTTGGGCTGCTGTAGACAACCAGGCTAAATGGTGTACAAGAACCTTTGTAGACTAAGAGGGCTGCTTCTTGTCCTTCTGTGTGATATCCTTCTAAAGAATCTGGTGTTATATTGTTGAACAACCAGGCTAAATGGTGTACAAGAACCTTTGTAGACTAAGAGGGCTGCTTCTTGTCCTTCTGTGTGGTTCCAAACTACTCTCCAGAGATATCCTTCTAAAGAATCTGGTGTTGTATTGTTGATACAAACTACATTACAAAGTCCTGTGTCCAGAAGCATCTGAATTATATCGCTGCAATACTTAAAGTGGAAAATATTTCCGAAAGAGACCCAAGGACCCTCATTTTACATTTGATTCGATTTGATCTACCTGTAAACAGGATATCAGAGTAAAGACATTGTTTGTGCAAGGTCTGGTGGAGCCAGTGAGAAAAAAGTTGAGAATTATTGGGAGGAAGTGTGTTGTTAGGACCTTGAATTTTGTTTTTCACTGGTTGACATTGCATTTCTAATTATAAACAGAAATACACATAGAAAAATAAACATTAGATACAAATCCATTGCTCTTTAACACTAGCGCTTGCAGTTATGGACCATGTTTTATAACTGGACCATCTATGGTTTTGTAGGATGCCGAGAAACGAACTCCTCTTCATGTTGCATCATTCCTGGGAGATGCAGACATCATTGAGCTTCTCATTTTGTCAGGTAAGGTAGTGTCCCTCACTGTTTTAGCTGGTAAATTAGCTAATTTTAAAGCTACAAGGAATACCCAGCAAAACCTATATGAGTGAGCTTTGGGCAGTGCATATTTCTGAGTTTCATAGATAGTTGCAGTTGTTGCAAGATTAGAAAATTATTTTAAATTTGGTAATACGATTATAAAACATGCACTGTGACTGAGCAGAATTAATAAACAAAGCAACAATTTTTTAAAAACTTCAAAAGCATTCAAACTGACAATATTTGTGGATTCATAAACTTGCTGAAGTAAGTATTTGAAATGTAGGCTTATGTCCTGGATTACAAGCCAAGAATTCCTGTTAAGCAAAAATTATTATGCAATAATAGAAAAATTTATGAATGAGTTTGAATAAATTGTAAGTGGTATTTACATTAAAAACATGATCCTAAGAGTCAGGAAGTTTATTTGTAGAATAGAAACTGTGCAGTAGGATGTGTCTGAACAAATGTAAACCCAAGAACTTGCAAATCAGAGGTGGAACAATAAGTGGTTTTTGGAACAGATCCATACTAACAAATGTGTTTTTGAAATGTATGATCTTTTTGTGGGTAGTCCCTAAAAAAAAGAGAAATTAATTAAAAAAAATTTGTCTAAACATTATATGTTCTTAGGGTAGAAAAATATATGTATGGATGCACATACACAGCGTATTTTATATTTGTACGCTATCTTAAGATATTTTAGTCAAAACCAAAGTATATTAGACATTATTTATAAATATATTCTTATATTCTTACATTCTCCCTTTAAAAGCATACATCTTTTTGTATATTAGTTTAAATGCTTTGCTGGAGCATTGCCAAAAAGCTCAACCTGTATGTTGTCATCTAATGTTTTAGAATGAGACATCATGAACAAAAGCAACAGTTCACATGCGGATGCGTGGAGCCTGATAGAGGTTTCACCATAGGTGCTTGAAATACCTCAATTTATTGTGTGTGGGTGTGACACAAAGACTGAAGTACAGTGTTAACCTTGTACTAAGAGCCATTTTAATCCCTCCTGCTGACTCTGCTAATTTAACTTTCTGTGGATTTTTTTTTCCTAGCTCATAGTAGGAATATCTTGCTAATCTACCTTTCCAGAAGCATTGTGAAAAAAAAAGAAAAAATATTTCCAAACTGTTGTAGAGACAAAAAACCATGATCAAAATATGTCAGAACAAAGCATAAAGCAGATATCTCTCAAGAAGTACACATAATTCATGGCAAACTCCTGGATGTGCTTGCAGATTTCAAAGGCAGTGTTTTTCTAAACTGGACAACTGTAAGGGTAAAGCTTATGGTGGTTTAAGAATGTGGGATTGAAAGGAACCTTATGGTACAAATGTCTAACAGTTTGCAAACAACCTTGCTATATGATTGATTTCACAATTTAATAGACTGCCTCTTCAAACGAGTTGCATATTTTTTTTTAGAAAGTTATTTCACAACTATCAGTCCTGTGATTGTGAGACACCTTCTAGTTTCCAACCTTGAATCCTAGAATAATTCAGGCTGGAAGGGGCTTCTAAAGGTTACCTGATCCAGTCCCCTGCTTAGAGCACCAGCCAATTTCAAAGTTAGATTGGGCTGCTAATGGGTACATGCAGGCTACACAAACGTGTTTCTTTGGATCACCAGCCTAACCACACCTGGAGAAGGCAGAAAATGAGAATTCCGTTTCCTGTAGCTATGCATTTCTTTTGTACGTTTTTGGGGACATTTTGAGTTGTGTAATTGCTTAATGAGGGTAACAAGTTGGACATACATCATACATCAGATCCTTCTGCTCTAACCCTGATGCCAACAGAACAATTTAAATGAACATTCCTCTGCTGACAGGTTCTGCTTGGATAGGTTTTCAGTATGCTAAATGCAAACATGCTTTTCTTCACTGGGAGATTAGAGTTAATAACCTTCATCTGTGCACGTGTTTTTGCAGTGTATGTTGTTTGTCACATACTGTTGTTCCATTGTGGTGTGAGAAGATTGCAGGAGCAATGCCTTTTTTTAAGTTTTGCAAGTAACAGCCACAGGCAGTATCCACATAAAGAGAACAACGAAGCCGTTCTGCCTATTTCTCCCCTGAATCCAAATAGCATCAAAAAATGTCCAGGTCAACATTCTTGTTTTCTCTCACATTCCTAATGAGAGAAGAAGACTTTCTAGTGTTCATTCTTCTGGGACATGGCCTATAGGTTGTGTCTGGTCAACAGCATAAAATGCAGTTGATATATCTTGGTTTTTTCAAAAGATATTCAAGTGAGTATGAAAAAACCTATAATGAGGGCTTTCAAAAATTGGAGTTTGTGTCAGTGGCACTGTGCTGAGGTTCAGCCTACAAGAAATGTGTAGATCTTTCACAACTAGCTCAGCATGAGTCAAAATGAATCTTGTGTTGCATATTCTACCTATTCATTGTCCTTTAATCTCTGACGTATAATTACTCACAGTAAGCATCAGTACTTGTATCTAGGAGCAGGTTTGGAGGTCTGTGAGGTTTGGAGGAGCAGATCTATGAGTTACTATAAATACCTCTTTGTTATTGTGATCTCTCCATGGACTAGGCTCCAAAGACAACAGCAGCATCTTCCCTTTGTTTCACCTCTATTCAGTAAACTGTATTAGTAAAAGTGTATCCTAAAAGTTTATTCTGATCACAACGTTTAGTTACATAAGCAGAAAAACTTTGTTGTCTGACTTAAAATGAGAGGGTGTTTTTGAAGAGAGAAAGCACAAAAATGCTTGTCGTTGGTGTCAACAGTATTGTCAGCATGAGTAGAAGCTAGCAGGAGTAGCAACCCATTGGATTTTGTACAGGGCTCAGGAGAGAAATTAAATATGCACATTCTGAGACTTGTGGCCTATGAGAACTGGTGGCAGCACAAATAAAATGTAATGTCTAATCAGTAAAACTTCTGCCCAGGTGGTTGGAGACAGACCAGAAATTGCTTTCTAGGTAGCCAGTGAAATTGAGTCTGTTTGGAATTGATACAGGAGAAAGAGTGTCAGATCCCTCAACTGGTATGAGTCACCTGGCCCATTAAATGTCGGAGCTATATAGATTTACACCAGCTCAAAGGTCTGATCCATAATCATATGGTTCACACTGAAGAAACGTGCTGTGTGTCTTTGTTTTTCCAGGCTACATGAAAGCATGGAGCTTTGAGCACTTCTCCTTCACCTCCTTTCTGTCAAGAAGGAGAAGGGCCAGGGTAACCATCTCACATAAATGAAGCTCTGTATGATGACACAGTCATGGATGTGCAAGAAAAACTATCTGGGCAAATACAAGATCCATTCTCATTTGTGTAGGTGCCTCTCCCCCTCCTGGCCTTTGAGCTGGTGTCCGAGGGCATTATGTTTGGGCTCAGTCCCTTACCCCTTGCTCCCCACCCAGGAGCTTGTGATCTTGGCCATATTACCATGCCATACTATTTCTGAAGGCTCTGAGCTTCTTGGCAAGAAGTTTATGCCCTGGGGGTGTGCATCCATCCTTCATAAACTGCACAATAGCTGAGGAAAGGGACAAAGGACAAAGCCTAGCATGCTTTGGAAGAGTTCTACGTTCTGCCACACAGAGTTGGAAGTGAGACTGTCACATGCACAGCAGGTTTTGGGCCATCCCTGTTGTGTAGGCAGAAGGGGAGGCGCTGTGTAACTTGAACCCATGTTCAGGGCTTCCTCCTTTATTGCAGGCTAAGGAATAGGTGAGTTGGAGAGGCAGCCTTCTCTCTGCCTTTCCCATGGCTTTGAGATTCTGATCCTTGGGGATTAGGAGTATCTCCTTTGGGTGAGAATTTGGAGGATGTCCGAGGACGATCTCTTCTCTCCTTCATGAGAGACCCACTACCTGTGTGCTGTCACCTGGTGGGGTCTGCAGGCCATGTTCCTCCCTAGCAAGTGACTTGGACTTGCCTCCAAGGAGATCATGCCAAACCTCCTGTTTCTGCCGTGTAGTTGTTCCCAGGCTCTTTGGTTCCTATGTTCACATCTAGCATGGTGGTGTGTTCCTCTCATGTTGTGGGTCCTGGTTCCATCTATCAGCTGGTGCCACTCTGTTGTTATGTTTTATTTATGCTGATCTTTGCTTTGTATTGCATGTCTCTGTGTGTGTGGTGAGCCAGGGGAGGCATTCCTTATATTTTCGTGTGTCCATTGCTACGTCTCAGAGCAGGAGTTGGAAAGGTGCATGTTAATAATGTCATTAATAGGCTAAAGAGTAGAGTTTCCTTCCTCTGTTGACCATCCCTAATTTCAGAGAATTAGACTGAAGAATCTAGATTTATTTGAGACCTGTGGATTTGGCAGATGTGCTGGATGGAAAATTGTACTTTGGTCAGGATAAAGCGATGTTAACTGTTCCTGAAAGCCAGCATTGGATTGTTTATTTCAGATCTCAAAAGGACAGAGGCAATTTCAGATTTATTTCCTCTTTTGGCAGAAAAATTTGAGAGTGAAAGATGGCAAAGATTACAAAACAGCCATATTAAAGAAGAGTGGATTACAGAAAGTTTCCTCTCTGTTGATTTTATCTGTAACGTTATACGTTATGTTGTCTACTTCAGCCTCACAGAGCAAATTCAATGGCCAAGCCTTTCCTTCAGACCTATGGGTATGAGCACCACCGAGGGCAGAGTTCAGGGGATGAAGAAAAGGCTCTTTTCTGAAGAGGCTTTTTTTTAAAGTGGATATTTTATGGCAATGGGTGGGTGCAGTGGCTAGCTGGGAGATGTTAAGGGAAATCTTTAAAGCAGCTTCTCTTGTCAAGAAAGATTGTACTATGAAGGACACCATATACACCAATTTGAGTGTGTTATCAGTCCTCTTGTCCTTGTAAACACACAGATTAATTGATGGAGTGTTGTAGAAGTGCATTCAAACATGGTTAAGGTACTTGGACCAGAGAGAAGAGAGGAACACTGAATTTCTGCATGACGTTGAGGAAGTGTTTTGAGATGGACTTGAAAATGTAAGCTTCTGATTTTTGGATACAGCTAAATTTAGGTATCTTAGCATGTTGTAGAGCACTTGGTCTTCACAGTAGCATTTCTGTGTTGCTCTGTGCTTTCAAAGAGCTGTCTCCCTGGGATGTCACAGGTTGGACACTCAAGTTCATGAAGTGTAGAGGACACCTTTGAAAATGTAAGTGTTGCTCCCAGGGTGCCTCTGCTCTGCAGATATTTTCTGTCCCTGAAGTAGTGCATCAGCACTGGTGAAGTTTTTTGTTATCATAAACCATTGCCTGCAAGGGAAACTAAAAGATGCATTTTGCTGAAGGAAGTGTGCAGTATAGAGAGAAACTTTTCAAACTGTCTCTTCAGAAAATGTGCACCTCAGTAAATGGACAACAGCGGCTTCTGCAACAGGCAACAGCTGAATTGTGCAGCTCTTTAAAAACAGAAATCACAAACGTATTCAGCCAATGCATTGAATTAGATATGCAAGAGCAATTTCGCTTTGTCACGTGAAGAGGTAATGTGAGAAACAACTGAGGAAGAAAAGGCTGATAGCATGCTGTGTGCTATTTTATTTATACTGGTATTGTTTTGCTTTTATTATTTTCTTTAGCTGTTTTCTTGGCAACTACTTCAGTTTCTTAAAGGGTGAGTGGATCAGTGAAAGGCATGAATAGCTACTGGCAGAGACACTTCTCTGGGGTTTTTAATCATCTTCATATTCACCAGTGCCACTGGAGTTGCTGAATACTGAGGAATGATATGTTTGTCACACCACACGTAAGCCTTTCTGCTTTCCAACTGTCTGCTTGTAGGAATTAGTGAATGGGGAGAAATAAACCAAAAGAAACCTTAGTTAAGAACATAAAGGCAAAAACCCAAGGTAAATACAAAATAAATTTCTGAAACCGAAAAGAGGTATTTGGTGGCAATCATTAGGCATTCATCTAGGCAATTTGCATCCCCAAGACCCCTACCAGGCCAAGTCAGTATAACATAAGGTGCCTTGGAGTCCTGTCTGTCAGCTTCCTGGTGGTGGAGGAGGTTGTTGCCTTATGTGTCTCCAGAGCCTTGGGCAGTGTAGGCAAAGGACAGGATACTAAGGTGTATCAACCATAATGGCCTTCTCATGAAGACAAAAGAAGGTAACACCTTCCTCACTTCTATAGTTTCATTAGAAAATCCTTTGAAACTGTTGTCTTTTCTAAAGGGTGTTTCTCCAGAGGGCATGTCTGTGCCACCAGGTACAAGGTTCTGAGGTGAGTTCAGAGGATTGCCTCTAATTGTTCCACTAGTTATGAAAGTCGCTTCCTTTTTCTTGCAGCCAAAAAATTATATTCCAGCTTGTGGAAATATGAAAGAACTTGTTTCTTCTTTGTTTATCTAGCACAATTCCCAGTAAACACTCTGATTCAGAGGCAAGCACCTTAATATTTCTGAGAAACAGCTCTTGGAAAGTACTTCTGATTCGGGGAGTGTGATTTATTAATTACAGGCTTTTGTATGCACTTAAGTTATGGTGCAAAATGAAGATTAAGAATCCCTTTGTTCATGAAGTTCAGAGGCTCATCCAGTGCATGATGCCTGTGCTTCTCTAAAATTTTTCTCTCTGTGCTAGTCTTCTCAGACTAGTACTGCTACCTGCAGACTTGAGAGGTACAACATTTTCAGGTTAAGCCCTTTTTAAAATTAGTTTCTCTAGTCCTTTTCATGCGATTTCCTTTTTTGGGATATCACATCAGTGAGTAGCTTTAATATTTCTTTCAAACAAATCTACTTTATCACACAAATGTACAGCAAATGTACAGGATCCTTTTTTTTTTTTTGGTCTGCAGTCAGCCAGCACTACTGTAGTTGTTAAATAATCTTCTTTTATGCTTTTTTCTGGCAAGCCACCCCAAACCCATCCTCTCACACAGCTGCCTTTGTTAGAGTGCCCATTAGCTTTTTTTTCACAGAAGGCAAACGGATAGCCTCCTTCATCCCTCTTCTTCTGGTGTTTACTGAATAACACCCACAGAAGCTGAGGTAGTGAGTCCCAGTTTCCTCCTCAACCTGTGCATTTCGCAGTCCTGTTTTCTTAATCCCAGCAAGCTTTGTGACGCAGGGAGGGGAAGCAGTTATATCTTTTAGTGGTCTGCCTGATGGAGCTATAAACAAGAGAGGGTTGTTTGGGCTCATTCCCTTTGTATTAGATGACCTAAAAAAATGCATATACATAGACTACATATACATAGTTACATAAATATGTAATCCCCTGCAACAAATCTTGCTTCTTTTGTGTCCTGTAAACAAGGCTATTCCTGCTAATAGTCCAACCTACCCAGTTCCTTTCTTTCCAAATCACACTTCAGCTCCTACCTATCTGGGATCTGGAAATGCATTTTCAAGGGGAACAAGGTGCCTGGAGAGTTGTGAAGAGGGCTGAGGGTACCACGTAGGGCTCAGCTCTTGTTACCAGGAAACCAGTTGGGCAAGGCTTTCGATGTCGCACCCAAGGCGTGGATGTAACCTCTGCTGTTTACTTGCAGGCGCTCGTGTTAATGCGAAGGACAATATGTGGCTGACTCCTCTCCATCGAGCAGTTGCTTCAAGAAGTGAAGTGAGTAAGATTTGATAACCCTGCTTTTGCACTTAAACTACCTGCTGGGGGAAAAAGCAAACCATTGAGAGCTGTGGTAGGTAGCATGGTGACACAAAATAGAGAAAACATTTTCTGTGTGCAGGGCCTTTAGCATTGCAGCTGCAGGCCAGCTTTTACAAGTTAGTTATAGCTGCTTTTGAGCCTTAATGTGGTTGATTTTGGCCTTGTGGAATGCTTTACATTACCGTAGCAAGTCATATTGAGCAACCATCAGCAGGAGGGGGTGCCCAGGACTGAAGTGGGATGGAGTCCACAGTGGTCTACAGTGGCCACATCATCTTCAAGTGGTGAAATAGAAGAATAAATCCATATGGTGTGTGCACGCTGTGTGTGTGCCAGAGGGGAGTGGAAGCGTGTGTGATCCAACACATATTACCACATAGTTTGTTCTGGTTAATTGCATTTCAAGGCATCCATTAGGTTTTCTGTTAATGCATTTGATTCATGCATAAAGGAGGGTTAGCCCATATTTCTTCTACTTGACAGCTAGAAATCTTCTGGCATCATGTTTTACTTTTTCCGTTGCTATCTCAAAAAGGAGCAGTAATAACTATCAGGAATGCAGCTCAGGCATGACTGTGTTTTCAACAGCACCATTATACTTGGCTTTCCATTTTGGACCTCCCTGTATACTTTTATCCTCCTAATACTTAGTTAACAGTGAGCCCAACTGCAGACCAAATTGGCTACTCGGGGCAAGGGGACGTGTTGTAAAAGAGAGAGGGGGTGGCTGTCTTCCAGAGACTGATGGACTCAAATCACCTCCATAACAGTCCCAGTGCTTGCCAAGCCTGGAGGCAGGAATCCTGGGCTTGCTTCTGAACTTGGGCATTGTTTGGCTGCTGGCGGAGCTTCCCAGCTGCTGGCATCTGCTGAAACCCTCTGAAAGGAATATCTGATAGAGTATGAATGCTTTAATGAGGCAAAATACAAAAAGCCATGTTGGAAAACAAAGGTCAAACTTAAACCTTAAAAACCAGCCACAATCTTTCTCATGCAGTAATTGCAGTGTGTTTGGTTTCTTTTTTTTGGATGTGTCAGAGTACGTGATTTTCATTGTCAGTGACAGTCCTAACAGAAAATTTATGTCTTTCTATGGGTTTGTGTGTGATATTTAACTCTTCATCAGCTGAAGGCAAAGTGCACAAAGAAAAACTGTCTCCCATTGTGCCAGCAGTCCTGGTACCTCGAAGAGAGCACCCAGGTGCAATAGTGAGGCAGCAGGTGAAGGCAATAGCCTTTGATGCAGTTTCATGGACTGCTAAATATTTTATAAACACACAGAGCTTTCTTCCCCTGGTCCTTTTCCTTTGTTATTTATATGATATTTGCTACTCATGCTAAGCATTTTGAAACACACTCAGTGTTTTGAGGCTTTTTCAGGGCTGCATTTACTTTATTGCACAGGCTAACAAATGTGCAGCTTCAATATAATAGGACGAAACTGATAGTGATAGTGATAGATAGCAGTGGGTGAATTCATAGTTCACAGTGACAGTAAGAGATGAATTCTCTGACCAGTAGGACTCTGTGGTTTTTGAAGTTCCTGTGAGCTCAGCTGCTTTTAGAATGATCACTGACAAGTTTTAAGATTTATTATCAATCTTTTGTTATGGAGCTTTCACAGGATTCAGAAGCAATCTCCCTGCACTCTTTTCATAGATTGATTAAAAGCATGAACAGATTTTTACTTAAGTCTTAATGATTTTTCGATTGGGCTTGAGGGATTTAAATGTTTATTCACAAATCACAACCCTCAGGTTTGTCTGTGCAGGATTGTTAATGGATGTATCAGCTTTCAGCCTTATATGGTTTGAAAAAGTAAAGAGATTTGACTCTGATAACTTGGAATAGCCAGAGACATTGAATACAGAGGCTTATGCCATAGCTGTGGACTGCATGCATATGTAGAAATTAGGTTAGTAAAAAGGTATACCTCAATGCTTTCAAAAGCAATAAAATTAAAACTTCTACATAAGGATTTTGACATTTTGATCCCAAATCTGATAGAGCAGCAGATTTGCAGATGTAGATAAAAATGTGTAAATTTTTTAAAAAAGGCTCAATATTTTTGACTTAGGCTTTTCAGTCCTTACTATTTAGTTCTAAAAGTTCTCCTTTAACTTTTTTCTTCCTTCATTAAGAGTCAAAGGGCATGAATTTTCCTGCTAACTTCATGTCCCAGCTGGGCAGGTCTCCAGTGAATTACATTTATGTGACTTTTAAAATAGTAGGTCTGTAATTTAAAAAAATACCTGTTGAGACATCAACAGTGATATATCATTATTAGTGCTGTAAGAGGTGCAATGTCACTAGCTGACCAAATCTGTTAGAGGATGGTTTGTGAGATGGCTGTAGAAAATGAAATTGCTGAGATTAGTTGAGGACAAAGAACTAAAACCACTAGTAATGGATGTATTGTTGATACAGACTGCAGGCACTCTCCTGGGCCATTCTAGATATAAAAGTGCTTGTTATTCATTAATAAAATTTTGGGTGGGCTTACCAGAAAACTTTTCAGTTTATGTAAAAAAGAATAAGGTACTGTGTGGGACTAGGGCTCTCTCACTTACCAGATGTGAGTTGTAATCAGCGAACTAGGCTACTTGAATGCTACTCTGTCCCAGTGGTTCCTTTGTATTTTGTTTATTTGTGGAGAGAAAAGGAAGAAAAAACAGAAGTTAATTTGGAGAGAGACTTTTTTTTTTTTAAATCTGAGTTGCTTAATGGCAGATGCATGAGTAGAGGCAGAAAAGAACTGATTGTGAATTCTCCAGTGAGACAGTCTTGAGAGAGAGAATAGTACATTTTCTCGCTGGGAAATATTCACTTTTAACCAACAAAATTAACCTTAAAAGATGTTGTTTGGTCTCAGGCTGACAGAATGGATGTTGCAGTGAAGACCCTTGGCCTGTGCTCAGCCCTTGGGGAGGGAAGGAATGTTAATGCTGAGTTGGGGACACCAGTATCAACCCTTGACTGTGGTTCTCAGGTTTCTGCAAAGCTAGAATTTTGTTTTCACATATTCTGTTTTATTTCCTCCTTTTTCCTGTTTATAAATAAAACTTACAGCAATTTGCTCTGATTTCACTGTCCAAAATCATGTGCTTTTAATTTTGTAAGTAATTTCTGTAACAGTGAGCTCAAACAAATACATGCATTTCTTCCATGAGAGCACAGTTATGATGACTGAGATACTGAAGGTTGATTAACTGAACAGGTTGGGCTCTCTGCATAGGCAGGTTTGTACATCCTAAAATCAAATTGGGAAATTTTGATTGTGAGGACACTGCTCTAAATGACAGCAAAGGGTGATGTGTACTCTGGCATTTGTATCAACAATACTATTTCACTAGCTTGGGAGGTTGTTTTGGTGAATGTTGTTGTCTTTCCCTCCTCCTGGCCATGTCTAATGTGCATAAGTAATATGTGTAGGTAATATGATTGAGCTGTCATGAAGGTGGGCCGTGTATTTATTCAAACTGCTTGGTTATGGATATAGCTGTTGCTGTTGCAGGAAGCAGTGCAAGTATTGATTAAGCACTCGGCTGATGTCAACGCTCGGGACAAGAACTGGCAGACACCATTGCACGTGGCAGCTGCAAACAAGGCAGTGAAGTGTGCAGAAGTCATCATCCCCATGCTGAGCAGCGTCAACGTCTCTGACCGAGGTGGGCGGACAGCATTGCACCATGCAGCTCTGAATGGCCACATTGAGGTGAGGTGTTTAAGAACATAATTGAGTGTTGGTTTATTTATTTATTTTACCAGTTCAAATGGTTGACCTGCTGTGACTGGGTCTAGACTGAGGCCCATATCCCTGACCCCCACGATTCCTATAATTCAGCTGCTTTCCAAACTGTGTGACAGGTTTCCTACTTGCAGAAATGAGACTGGCTGGGAAGTACCTGTGCAGAGCACAGTGAGGTGTGTGTGCAGATTTGGAGAGCTGGCTGTGCCACTGGCTCTGGCAACTCAAGTGTGTCCTTGGCTTTTTTGAGCTTAACTACTTGCAAAAATAAGAGTAGCAGAATGGAAAGAAGGGAAAACTGGTGGATTCGTTTCATACTGAAGAAATGTTCAGCTGTGTGAGATCCAGTTGGTCTGCTTTTCTAATTAGTCTTATAGAAAATGTGCTTCTGGTTTTAATACTTATCTTACACAAGCAAATCCTTCTAATCTAATTACTCTTTCTATGTGAAAAAAAATACTTTTGTAAATAAAGCCCCTTATGTAAAGGGTTCTGATAGCATCTTTAGATCTGGGTGCAAGGATCCTCATTTGCCCTTTCCACACCTCAAGATCTAGATAGGGAATGAAATGGTCTTAAAGTAAAAAACTAAGAGCAGCGTTTCTCTTCCAGGCCTGTTTCTCTTCCAGGTTGTTTGGCAAGCTGAATTTGAAGCACACTGGAGTAGCAGCACCCTGCATGCTCTCAGCCCTCTCTGTGGACACAGAACTTGTCCTGTTTACTTGTGGCCATCACCAGTCCATATCATTAATGCACGCAGTTTTCAACAGTATTTGTGTAATTCGCCAATTTATTGTTCAAGAGCAGGATTTTGTGATCCCAACTTTATTTCTAGAATGATTTGTTATAAACTGTTGAGTGTTGGTTTACAGGGTTGGCTTACTTGCCGTTATTACTTCTAGATGGTGAACTTGCTCTTAGCCAAGGGGGCAAACATCAACGCTTTTGACAAAAAGGACAGAAGAGCTCTTCACTGGGCAGCGTACATGGGTAAGGCTTGGGCTGTTGCTCCTTTTTCATTTCCTATTCACAAACCAACAGCATGTTTTAAAATGGACAGACCTGGCCGTGGAAAGTAAGTGTTGTATTTACCCCAAAGAGGGAAGGGTTCAGCTGATTGAAATACACACCATCCATTTGTGGTTTTGCAGCTAGTGAGAACTTGGCTGTGATTTTCTTAAACACAGTTAATTGTGGGCTTTTTGTGTTGCTTTTTTCATTTTGGTCTTTTTATCCTGACTCTAATTCCAGCCTTAAGTACATTTGAGCTTGAAAAAATAAAGGTTATATTTGTTTCATTTTTTGCTAAAAACTACTTTATATAACATGCAGATAAATACAATCATAAATTTTGCTGTTTACCTATGTTATAACTAGCTAAGTTATGATATTGTTAGTAAGTGCTTCACATGGGCTTTCTTCCTGTTAGGAGTAAATTATTTTTTTCCAGAGTAGACAATCAATTAATCTATTCAGAACATCAGTGGTGTTACCAATACTGCTTAGTTAAATTGATTGCCCTCATCATTCCTTTCAAGTTAAAGGATAATCTCTTATAATGGGTCATTTTCATTTAAAAATACTAAAACAAGATTGCCTGTGATAGTGGTCACACTTGTTCAAGAGCTTTTGTTGGCCAAGCAGTATATTCTAGATTATAATTTGTGAGGTGTGGTGTGCCCTCTGCCAGGAACTCTTTCATCTGCCCTGTTAAATCTTGATTTTAATCCTAGCACTTTTAGAAATGAGATAATAGGAGATTTCAAGCTGTGAGAAAAGCATATTGTGCGTTTTTTTAATATACACAGACAGATGGAAAGACTCTTGCCAACAAATGTGATTTGGCTTTTGAGCTAGTGAGCTTTGAACTCCACTCTGTAGAGGTAAAAGGCTTTTACATTATGCTGTGCAATTCCACATCTCTTTTGCTCTTGATTCTTTTAAGAAATTCATGACGTACTTTTCAAAATATTTAGCTAACATTTAAGCCCTAAATTAGCAATAGGATTTAGAGGTCTCTAGTGTAATTTGGACAAAATTTAGATAATGAGACCGGAGCATCTTATCCTGTAACTCCTCATGTAGTTTCTTGAATGCTTAAATGTCTTTGGGCACTTTGGACTTTGTCCATAAAGTTTCCTAGGCCCTGCACATGACCAGAGCTGTCTTTGTCATCAAAGTGCTGTACAACTCAGAGGATGCACAACTTTATATGGTTTTGACATAACAGATTTTTAATTCTAAGCAAGACAGCTCTGTTTCAACATGAAGCAATAAGGACTGTTCCTCAGTTAGCCTTGATTTAATTTTGGTGGCTATCTGGAAAGGCAGGACAGATGGTTTGAGACCTTCAGGGAGAGGAGGAAACTGAAGATACAGGTGGATTATGAGCGGCATTTTGAGATGCTCAGCTCTTCCCCTGTATTCTGTAGGGAGATCCTAATTCAAGGCTAGGCTTTTCACTCCTGAAGACAGACGTCCCATTGATCTGGCAGTCAGCTCCCAATCTGTGTGACTGTTGAGGCTATTGCAATTATTTTAGTTTGCAGAGTAAGTATCTATGTATAGACTATGAGTTCAGATTAAACATTTTTAGTCCTATATGCAGGATTTTTTGCACAGTTTTGTGTTAATGATACAGTTTTGGAGAGTCAAAAACCTGATCCAAGGATCAGTGAATTCAGTAGAAAATCTCGTGTTTTTATAGGTAGTCTTTGGATCAAATTCTGCACTCACTTGAAATTTAGTTTTCTGTGTCCTCAATGGTGCTAGAAAAGAGGATACCTTCATTTTATGATTTATTGAAGTTATTTTGTACTGCTAACAAAAACCAACAAGTGTTAGCAGTTGTGTTTGCAGATGACATCAACAGGTTCCTGTTTTGGGAGACTTGTCATGCTCCTGTGCTCACTGTTATTTCTGTAACAGGGAGAATAAAACACAAACTGCTATTTTTAGAGAGATAAATGGGAAAGAGGTATGTTTTTGTTCTTTTAATGACTGGAAAACTAATTCAGTAAAGAGAATTTCGACATACCTGGTGAAGGTGAATGCATAAATTTTTTGACAAGGACTGGAGACAGGATTAAGAACATTTATGAAAATGCTTTGGTTTTGTTTTTTTTTTTTTCTGTTGTAAAACTCTGGGAGCATTGTGAGAGAGCAGTGAAAGGGCAGTGCATTAGCAAGAAAGCAGTAATTTGGGAGAAGTTATGCTGTAGGAGGGGATATTCTTTGATTACTATGTTTCATCTTTTGAAGGTCACCTGGAAGTTGTTGCCTTACTGATTAATCATGGTGCAGAAGTGACTTGTAAAGACAAGAAGGGTTACACCCCACTCCATGCAGCTGCATCCAATGGGCAGATCAACATTGTGAAACACCTACTTAACCTGGGGGTAGAGGTACGTGGTAGTGTGCTCTTTGGGGCTTCCATATTTCTCCGTATTTGGAGATATTGTTTTCTTCTTTCTTATGGATGCTGCTACAGATGTTGGCAGAGTTTCTAAAGAAAATAGTTCCCATTTTCTGGATCACCTTGTGCTTCATGTAGTTTATTGGTTCAAGAGCCAGGAAACATTCTGGCATAAAAAAATGTCTGATATGGACAGTAAATCCCGGACCACCTTACTGAAGAATCAGGAAATATATGCTGTTCCTCCAGAGGAAGATGGAATAATGAAATTTCCCTTATCTCAGCATTCTCTTTGATATGATGAGTGGTTGTTCTCAACATATACAGCGTATACTTTACTAAACAGCAATTCAGGCTGTTTAAGTTTAGGGACCTGTATTTTCTCTGTAGCTGGTGGAGGGAAGGAGAAGGGTTATTTTCACTCAGGAAAAGAACTTTTTTTCAGTGCACAGACTTCTCTTAGTGTAATATTGTCAACTCAGTGGTTCAAAGCAGCAGTGAGATGACCGGAAGAGCCTCCACTGGTTAGTTGGGTGTCATATAAAGCCATTGCATTTACCATTGCATTTTCAGATGACTTGACCTGCCAAAAAATGCCAGAAGTCCATGTTCACAGGCTGTTGACTGTGAAGTTGAAGGGGAATAGGTGTTTCCTGTTATTAACAGTACTATGCTAATAACTACCTTTAACTTCCACATTCTCCACCACCGGGGATATGATCTTTGAGATGCCTGTATTTTGTGGAAGGATATTCACATCATCCCTGAGTCTTTGTACGATCTGTCTTGTCCTATTTTACAGAACAGCAGTTGAATACTAAGCCAGTATTAACATAATCTTAATTACATCTTTATAATACTGATCTACTGAAAGTGGTTTCTTATTGAAGTGTAAATGGCTGTGCAGTTTCACCTTCCCTTTACTCAGACCTTCACTCCCTTCCTGAAAAAAACTGTGGAAAGAGCTCTTAAGCCTGATTTTGTTCACAAAAATTCAATAGTCAGTGTTTTTTTTTTTTTTAGTAAAGATTGTGAGCTTTTTATTTATCCTAGTTTCCCACTTAATGTAAAACCTTTTCAGCTTGTTAGGACTTCTGTCGTCATCATCATCATCATTACATAGTCCTGCTATCAGCTTTAAGCTTCATATTGGCTGTTAGAAATTGCCAATAGGATAAAAAGTTAATAATAGTAAAGGTAAAGCTTTCCAAATAAACCTCTCTGGGAGTATATTTTTGTCAATTAAATTAGCTGGTGAGAAATATGCCCTATGACAGATCAAGCCTCCAGCTATTTCCATTTGCAGTATGTGATGCATTGTGTAAAATGGTAAGCTGCTGTCTGTAATTGTAACTATGTCTCCTTGTCTCATTTTAGATTGATGAAATGAACATCTATGGAAATACTGCGCTTCACATTGCCTGTTACAATGGTCAGGATTCTGTTGTTAATGAGCTGATTGACTATGGTGCTAATGTAAATCAGCCTAATAATAATGGATTCACTCCCTTGCATTTTGCTGCTGCCTCCACTCATGGAGCACTGTGTCTTGAACTGCTGGTGAATAACGGGGCAGATGTTAACATTCAGGTAACATTTGCATTGCAGTTCTTCAGTTTTACTTTATCCTGTTTTGCCTTACCTCAGGCGACTGGAAACTATAATGAGTACAGCGTGGCTTTAAATCCTTGATGGAAGTAAAGTGATGCTGAGAATGTTGATCATTAAATTGTTTGGATGAGATTACTTCACAGCAGAGGAGCTCTCAGTGCCTTGATAATATAATAATAGCTTTAAACTCTAGGCCAGCCACCCTCCTGAAAGCATGAACCACTACTGAAATATAGTCTCAGGAGCTCTGTCAAAATGTTATCTCAGGGAGTGGTGGTAAGTCAATGAACTATTCCTTTCTGGTGTTTTCCTTCCCCCTGCAATATGGATTTAATTAAACATGAATCTGAAACGTTCCTTTTGACTTTCCCCAGGAAGTAAGAACTGAAGATTGGTTTTTTACCTATTTCAGAGCCTGAGTTTACAAAGTCTGATTCTGTTTAGGATATCTGAATGCTCTTGAGATACAATTGATACATCTTGATGAAGCTGCTATCAGCTTCCCCCATCTCAGTT